GCTGAAAGCTAGAAATCTGAGGTCAGGGTGGCAGCATGATCAGGATCTGGTGAGGGCTTTCTTCTTTGTTTATAGACAACCATCTTACTGTTCTCACAGGCCCTTTCCTCATTGCAGGCTCTTTCGTTCTCTCTCTCTCTCACTCTCCCACTCTCCCTCTTACAAGGACACTAATCCCATCACAAGGGTCCTACCTGTATTACCTCATCTAAACCCAGTTGCTTCCCCAAAGATTGCACTGCTACATACCATCACATTTGGAATTTGGGCTCTAATATATGAGTTTGGGGAGGACAGAGATATTTAGTTCATAATAGTATGCTTCTCCCAAATTGAACTTCACATGGAGGCCTTGGGTGGGCTGTAGCCTGGACTCAGAGTTGGGGGCCAGGTGCAGTAATGTCCTAGTAACAGCTGGAGGAGGTAGCTGCACTAGGGGAAGCAAACTTAAGGCAGGAGTCAACCCACCTTTTCATGGTGCATGGCAGCCTTCAGTTGTCCACCCCTCAGAAGGTCACAGCCACCTGATATAAACTTACTGGACCTCAGGCTCCTTGTCTGCTGAAATGGAGGTGACTATGCCTGCCTCGTGGGGTCTTTATGAGGAGCAGGGTAGCTCTGAACATGGTGCTTATAGCCACAAATGCCTCAGCAAATGTTACCCAGTAGTTCCTCTGCTATTCTTTTAGGCACACTGTTTCATTTAATCCTTAAAAAAATGCCACCAGACAGGTCTTTTTCCTGCCCGTCTTACTTTTAAGGAATGACACTCAGAGAAATACAGCATGCAGCTGGCATCTTTAAGGAGAAAGGGCACTGTAGGCAGTGAAGGTGGAAATGATCCTGGTCCCTTAACTTGCAGGTGATCCTGACTAGGTAATTTTTGTTGGTTATTTGACAAGGCATTGGTGTCCTTTCCAGCTCGTGTCTTCCACCTGTATGTAGGGAGCACCCAGAAGGAGTACTGCCTCCTAATGCCTCCACCCCACATCACAGGGGGACACTCCCATCTATACAGAATCACATGGGAAAGTCACACTGGGACATGTACACATGGAGAAACCAGGACCCTAACACTAACGGACACTTATGGGGACACAGGGACACACACACAGATGGACAACACCCTCCAACACACACACACACACACTCACGCACACACACACACACTCTCCTATGGTCCCAGCAAGCCAGCTCCTCTCATTTGCCCCTCAGATTCTCCAAAGTATGGTGCTGTCCCTGTCCTGGGTCCAGCAAGCTCCCAACCCTCTCTGTCTTTCACCTCTATCTGGTGTGTTTGCTCTTGGAGAGATGCTAAGTCAAAGGGACAGTCATTTCCAACTGTGTGACCTCACACCATCGTTAGAATGCCATGGAGGGTGACCCAGCTTCCCTTGCTCGAATCCTCTATAGGACCTGTCCAGGGAGGGAGGGCTGGAAATCAAGGCTATTCTAAGGCTGAGTTTCTGCTCTCCCAGACCCAAGGCCAAGCTGATAAGCACTTCTGAGAGGGACATCTCCAGGGAGAGACCAAATCTGCATGGACCTTCCCACTCTATGCTGATGCTGTGTGGGCTGACCCACTGATAGCTTGATGACCAGTGTCCCCCACAGGAGCCTCAGTCCTGGGAGGGAATGGAGGAGATGGCACAGGTGATGGTCTGAGAACTTTTGATACCTAGTCATAGGGGCAGGACCTTGCAGACCCTCTTGCTGAATCACCGTTGGGTCTTCCTTCACTGCCCTTTCTGTTTCTCTCCTCCCTGGATTATCTGTCTTGGGCCTGTCTTTCCCCTTTCCTGAAACACGTATATACCTCTGCAGGTCTGCTGCTGTTTTCCCGTGGAACCGCTTCACCTTCTTCCTACCCTAGTGTGGAACTTCCATCTGGGCTCTGTGCAGGGCAGACCCTAGGCCTAGGCCTAGGCCTGGCCAGCTTTTTGAGCCAGGGAGGAGGCCCAGGGGTTGTGGGTCCTAGATTGAGGGTCCAGGGCAGAGAGGTCTGAGAGGTTTTCATCCTATAGGACTGGCTCTTTCTCCCTCCTCTCCTGCCCTCCTCACCTGCCATTTCTCTCATTCATTCCCTTGATACCAGCCTTCAGCCGGGGTCCAGACTTTCTTCCTGGATTGGCCAGAGTTGTGGTTGGGGCCCATCTATTTTGTTAGGGCTAGGAGGCTGGACCTTTCTTTTGAAGTTGTTAGTCCCTGGGTGGACTGGGTTTCAGAAGCCAGATCTAGCTTAAGGAGAACATCTCTGATATTCAGGGGAAGCTCCTATAAAAGAACTGTGGTCACCAGCTGTCCAGCACCCAAAGGCCTGTTTACAACATGCACCAACTCATGTTCCTGGAACAGCCCTTGTAGACAAGGTGCAGTGTAATTGCTGGGACCAGGATCAGTGGGGCTGGTTGGGAAATATTGAGATTCCTGTGGCTTTGGGACTTCTCTTGGAAAGATAAGGTTGCTGAAGGTGGGGTTGGGAGGCATTGGGCGACTGTTATGGTATTAAAATTACAACCCAGGACCAAGTTGAATCTACCCCTTAGAGCTTCTACATGTTTGGAATTAGTTGGTACTGGGGACTTCTGACCTACAGCTGAGCTGAACTTAGGGTGCCCTCTGCTGGTAGCCAAAAGAAGCTCAATCCCTTTGTATAGAGAAAGGACTGTTAACCCCATGTTGCTACCACACATAGAAGGTCCCTTGGTTCTGTCCTGAGCTGAAGGACCCTCTTCTGTGTTTTTGCTGCATCTGTGTAGCCATTCCCTAAGATCCTGTCCCAGGACCCTCTGCTGACCTCCTCCCCCCAGACCCAACAATCAATGTTCCCAGGAGAGGGAGAGGGAAGGGGAGAGCAATTTGATCTCTTGCATTTGACCTTCAGTGGTGCATGTACATTCCTCCCAGGTGCACACAGTTTCTTGCTTTTCATGGGTGCTATCGCCCAGCAGACGGTCTGCCCTCGGCATGTGGATTGTGGGTGAGTGGTGATGAATCATGGTCTTGGCAGGCTGGCAGCCTTCCTGCCCTTCTACTTATGGGAACCAGCAGCTCCTGCATAAAAACATTGGTTACCCTGTGCCAACGGCCAGCTGGCTGTCGTGAGCTGAGCGAGCTGCGATGTGTAACTTCCATGCCTAGAGTATTAGGGGGCCTGGCACAAGTTGCACCTACTTCTGGGGATTCTGCTGCCTTTGGCTCCTACAGAGGTTGGGGGAAGTCCAGGAAGGTAGAGGCTACAGGCAGCATTGGAGCCCCTGGTCCAGCCTGGCCTCACCAGGGTAAGGGTGTGGAGTCTCCCTGCTTCTCCAGTTAGGGATGACTGTGTCTCTTGCTGGGGAGATACTGAGTTTTCACACACTGTGTTGTACATATTTAACCTTCAGACCATTCGGGGCCATCACAGTGTGGAGTCATCACCACTCTGGAACCCTTCCCTGAAGCAAGGTGCTTCTCAGGGTTTGTGGGCAGGGATGACTGAGTATTCTTGCTTGCTCACTGGGCTGCCTAGGACAAGAGGGTGGACCTTTCTAAGGCTGAGTTTTCTTGTGAAATGAGCATAAGGACCTACCCACAGTGTATTGTGGGATGTAATCAGATCACTCAGACAGCATGCTTGCACAGCACACATGTGTATGGGGAAAGTGCACAGTGTCTTTCATTCTGTCTCCAGGTCCTTGGCACAGCACCCAACCCATCTGAGATGCCCAGCACTTTTTGTTGGATGAATTAGTGACTTACCTCCATGTGCCTATGTAGCAACACCTTGAGCTATGTGAGAAAGACTATCCCTTGACTTTCAGATGAAGTACTTAGGTACAGAGAAACTCCGGACCTATTGGGAGTTCACATCTCCCATTCTCCGGTTTGTTTTAGTTCTACCCACCCTGTGCCACCTGCCTGTGGTCCATGCTGACTCAGCTCTCTTTCCAGGCTGGTGTCAGAGGTGTGGCTTCTGAGCCAGGCTCAGTAGCACATGACTATAATCCCAGCCACTGGGGAGGCTGAGGCAGGAATATCACAAGTCAGAGGCCAGCCTCAGAAATTAAGCAAGACTCTGTCTGAAAAAAATAGAAAGGGCTGGGGATGTAAAATGCCACGGGTTCGAACCCTAGTGCCTAAATAAATAAGTATAGTAAGTAAAAGAGGTGCAGCCCCTACTTGGAGCCCTGCATACCCTGTTTAATCAGGAGAATTAAACTATGGAGTCCTGGATATGGAGTCCCCCCAGCTTCCTGCTGCCCTCAGGACCAGGCCTGGCCCTTACCATGACTTCTAGCACTGCCCCTTCTCAAAGAGTTCCTGAGCCCCATCATCTTCCCAGTGAGCTGCTGCCCCATCTATACCCAAAGTTTCAACCTGTTCCTGCTGCATGCCCTGTGCCTATGACAGTTCCTTGATGGGTATATCCCCTGCTTCACGAGGCTGGCTTCTTGCCAGTGCTGGATCTCCAAGTGCCACTCTTGAGAGGTACTGACTGCCCCATCACTTGTTCTCACAGCAGGCCATTTACTTGATTGTGCCCCTGCCTGGCCTCCAAGCCCATGGCCATCAGTGTCACCCATTCATTCATCCTCTTCTTCAGGCCGAGCTCCTAGGAGGGACTTAGAAATGCTTCTTGAGGACTGGGGTTGTGGCTCAGTGGTAGAACACTTGCCCACATGTGTGAGGTTCTGGGTGAGATCCTCAGCACCACATGAAAATAAATAAATACAATAAAGGTATTGGGTCCGTATACAACTAAAAAAAAAAATGAAATATAAAATGTTTCTTGAACAAAAAGGAGTATGCATAACCCCTGTCTGTTAGCAGGCTGATGATATGGGACAGAACATTCTGAAAAGTGGGTCTGAGTATTGGATTTGGAGGGAGTGAAATCTCCCCAGGGTGAGAATGTCTCCAGAAAGTTGACCTGCTCCTGCTCGGCCAGGAGGGCTCAGCATACCCCACCAACCCTACCCATCTGGCCCTAACTTGAGCCCTCCCCACCATGCCCGCAGCACCGGCAGCTGCTGAAGGACAGCTTCATGGTGGAGTTGGTAGAGGGCGCCCGCAAGCTGCGCCACGTCTTCCTGTTCACCGACCTGCTCCTCTGCACCAAGCTCAAGAAGCAGAGTGGAGGGTGAGTGACAATGGGGCCCCTATCCCACCTAGCCAGTGACCCCACCCCAACACTCCAGGAGGAGAGGGTCTCTCTGGGGGACAGGAGTAATGATGTGGCCAGGCCCTGTCTTTGCATTCTGTTTCCACCTGAATGTGATACCAGTTCAAGGTCAAAGTTGTCATTAGCAGTCTGGAGACCTCCTGGGGGCAGAGTCAGTGACTCAACTTTCTGATCATGGCTTCATGCATGACTAGAGGAAGTTTTATCATAAATCATCTGAAAAGAGAGAGTGACAGAGAGGTCAAGAAGCTGCAGAAGCTGGTGCAGGCTGCAGGTGTTGGGGGTACAGTCAGCTCTCCCATGACCTTGGCAGGGTAATTATTGAATGTTATCTCCCTGGTGATAGTTTTCTTTTTCTTTCTATTTTTTTTTTTAACAGTACTAGGGATTGAACACAGGGATGCCCTACCACTGAGCTATATCCCCAATCCTTTTTAATTTTTTATTTTGAGACCATCTCACTAAGTTGCTGGGGTTGGCCTTAAACTTGCGATCCTCCTGCCTTATCCTTCTGAGTAGCTGGAATTAGAGACGTGTGCCATTGTGCTTGGCTGGTGATGGCTACCAAGTTATTCCCAACATAGGCCTGTAGTCTACCCCTCGTCACCACCACCAGGGGTCAGATTTGCCCAGGGTATTCCAGGTTGGAAGAAAGCAAAGAGGGCAACGCCAGAAAAGAACAGACTTTTGTCTGCTGTTCTGCTGTTATTGTGCTGAGTGGATTTAATTAGTCAACTCAGAAGAGAGTCTCTGTTTCCTCATCTGTGAAATGAAGGGATTGTACCAGGTAGATCCACAGCTCCTTGAACTCTGCAGCTCTGGACTTCAGTCCTATGCTTCCATTGGGTGATATTGCTGTGCTTCCATGAGATGTCGGGGTTAGCACTAGATAAGGGGGATCAGGGCTCTTCAGATACTTTGGGGCCCGGGGTCAAGTGTGAAATATATGTTCCCAGGAGTGACTAAGGTTGGGACTGCCAGTGTCTGCCAACAGCCTCCTTCCAACCTGTCTTATAAAATAAGCACTGGGTTTTGGATCAGATAACTATGCAGCCCTATAGACCCAGAGTTCTCAGATTCTCAAATAGTGACATCAGCAAAAGAAGGCAATAAGCATGTTAACATTCTCCTTTTCCCCCAGCAAAACCCAGCAGTATGACTGCAAATGGTACATTCCGCTCACGGATCTCAGCTTCCAGATGGTGGACGAATCAGAAGCAGCACCCAACATCCCACTGGTGCCAGATGAGGAGCTGGATGCATTGAAGATTAAGATCTCCCAGATCAAGAGTGACATCCAGAGAGAGAAGGTATATCTGACTGGGGGAAATGAGGGCCGGGCTCTGTGTGACCTGAGAGGGAAGCAGCCTCTCGTACATCAGCCAGTGGGTTCTCTCTCCTCTGAGCATCCGACCCCACGCTGGCCTCCAGAACCTGCTGTGACTCCTGTGAGCTCTCAGCTTCTGGAGTGCTGGGCATCTGGTCACAGCCAGGCAACAGTTATAGTTTGAGCTTCCAGCTAAATTTGGGTTCTTATACCAGAGCAGCTAACATCCCAACTCTGAACAGAAATGAAGGGATACTAGCTGTGGGCATTCACAGTGTGTCTTTCACGACATACTTATTTTACCTAGCAGATGGCCCCATGCCCAGTTTTCTGACCTATGACCAGGATACTCTCACGTGCATAACTTACTTATACTAGATGCCCTTGTGGGTCTTGTCTGACCTGTGCCTAGTTTACACCTGCCTGACTCTAAGAGCCTGACCTTGGGTTTTCCCCCAGTGTCCCAAGGAAAACCTGGCCTGGAGTAGCCCCTAATTCTTCTGATGGAAGGTACAAACTCAATACATATAACAACAGAAAAGTTGTTCAGAGATAATAACTAATGGATCCTGGGCAGGAAGGGTGCAATGAGGTAGAACAGTCCTCCACCTCCAGGTTGCACAAGGCAGGAATGAAAAGGCAGGGCAGAGAGAGAGTACTCATTTGGTAACCAGCAGTTTATGTAGGGGAATAAGGCGTGTGTTGCTTTAGGTTCACAGGCAAAGCCTAAATGTTTCATTTAAAAGAAGTGGCAGGAAAAAAGGTATCACCCCAATACACAGGAAAAATACTGAATCACTGAGGGAAAGTTGCACTTTGGCCATATGGGGCTTGGGGCAGTCTCAGATGTGAGGCTGGAGGGGTGCCCAGCTGTCCTTCTTACAACTGCCCTGATGAGGGCTTAGTCCAGGGTGAGGAGTACAGCCCTGCAGGCCACTGTTCCTTTCTACACAGATTTAGAAGATTGTAGAGATAGTTAGGATGTGGCCCCCAAGTCTGAGTTTAGTCCAGGATAGGAGAGGTGCTTTGCAGTAGCCTTAGACAAAGTGAGTCTCGAGAAAGTTGGTCCTCGGTCCAGAGACACCTGGCTGAGGTGGATGCAATAGCAGGAGGTCTTCCATAACTTTCACACCCCTGCCCAAGCCAGTGCACTATAAACCTTGCACATTTAGGAGCATGCAGGGAGCTGCATGACAACAGAAGCCTCGTACATGGAATGAGCATTACATTGTTTGTGTAGGTGGAACTGTGGCCTCCATGGTAGAGTGTGCCCAAGCAGAGGTGGAGCCAGTGCTACATTCTCAGAAACTGTCAAGCCCTATTGACTGCCACTTCAGGATTATCTACATTGTGCCATTTCTCTGGAGATTGGGGTTGGGTCTCTAACTACTAAGGTTTATCTTGGTTTCCTCAGGGTGTAGCAGCTTCAGGAAGGATCCATGTGGCTCAGGATAGGGAGGATTTTCCTGTCCACATCCTAGTGATGTTCATCTGGACTTGCTGGGACCCCCACAAGTACTCCCAAGGGTCTGATACTGAAATAGCTTAGGTCAGGGAGGGCATGAGAGGCCCTTTAAGTCACAGCAGCATCCTGGACACTGGATTTAGGAAAACTGAAGGCCAGGACATCTGTAAAGGTCTCTCCCCTTTAGCCTTTAAGAGGACAGACTAATTCCTTCAAGAAAGGTTTATTGAGCACATTCCATAGCTTGTGCCAGGCTTTGACTCCAAGAAAGGCCTGTTTCTGTCCTCAAAAGGCCACCAGCAATAGCTGACTGAGGCCCTGGGCTGTGCTGAGTAAACTGGTGGGATCCCTGCCCTCTGCGAGCCCAGCATGGGGTGGGTGGGATGGACTGAGTGGAAAGAATGGAAAGGCGAGGCTGTCTTCTCCCTGCAGAGGGCAAACAAAGGCAGCAAAGCTATGGAGAGGCTGAAGAAGAAGCTGTCAGAGCAGGAGTCGCTGCTGCTGCTCATGTCTCCCAGCATGGCCTTCAGGGTACACAGCCGCAATGGCAAGGTGAGTGCTGCTTCCCAGCTCCCTCAGTGTTGCCCTGTATATGCTTTAGGTCTTGAATGGGATATTGATCTCAACTGCAGCTGAGATCCATCCATCTGGCTTCGTGGCATATATTGTCCCCAGCTCATGTGTGACCTCTGCAACTGCAATCCTTTTTCTCTGGACGGCATACCTGCACTGAGAGACATGTCCAGTGTGACACATGAAAGCACACATGTCCATAGCCCTAGGGGAAATGGTCATTGACTCAGCTCCCATAGCTGAGGGTGGCAAGGTCTCCAGGGAGGGAATAAGGTCAGGTCTTGCAGGCTCACGCAGACTTGACCCTTAGTACAGAAATGCTGTCTGGGGACCTCAAGGTCCATTTAAAGGAAATAGCAGAGCTCAATTACTATGTATGACCATAAAGCTCTAAAAAAAAAAAAGAAGAAGAAGAAGAAGAAAGAAAGAAACAAGAGACATTCAGTTTGAAAAGAAAAAAGTAAAACTATATGATTTTATATACAGAAAACCCCAAGGAATGCATATAAAGAGAGAATATAAGATCAATATACAAATTTTTAAAAAATGGCAGGAAAAGAAGGGAGCCCATTCTGCTAGGTGGGAGAGATACCTCTAAGTTCCTGTCTCTCATCACCCACCTGAGCCATTGGGGTGTGCTATTCCAATACCCAGGCAGCAGCCTGTGCTGTGTCACCCCATTATATAGGTGCAGTACTGAATTACTAAGGGAAAGTTGTACTCTGGCAATGGAGGGCTTAGGATGGTCCTTGATACTGGGCTGGAAAGGTGCCCAGCTGTTCTTCTTACAACTGCCCTGATTGGATGTGAATCCTAAGTGACGAATATGGCTCCTCTCTATGGTGTCACTTGTACCTGTCAGTGTGCAGAATGGTTCTCTAGTGCCTGGCTAGGAGAGGCAACTGATGAGCCTAATCTCTGGGTCACTGTTTGTACTTGTGGGTTGGATACAGAAAATTGAGTTGGCATCAGCCCTGACCTCTGTAGATCCTCTCTGGTAACTTCTTCATGTTCCTAAGTTATACCCACTCTGCCAGTGTCATCTCCTAAAACCCAGGTGTTTCAGTTGGGGCTTGTGCCAGAGGCAAACTTACACAGATGTTTGGCCTGAAGTACAGCTAGTGGGATAGGTGGAACATGCTGAAAACAGTAAGCTTGTCTGTGAGCATACCGGATCATAATAGCACACCTGAGCACATCTGGGCTCAACTGTCTGGTGGTGGGGAGGTGCAAGCCTCAGGCTCTGTACTCTGACTTGCCAGGTGCTGGCTTAGCTAGGATGAAGATAACAGGCACCTTCTTCTTTTTGCCTAACCTAGAGTTATACATTCCTGATTTCCTCTGACTATGAACGAGCTGAGTGGAGGGAGAACATCCGGGAACAGCAGAAGAAGTGTGAGTGGCCTACGCATTAATGGGTCTTAGGCATCTCCTGTAGTTTTTAAACCTTTGTTTAAAAAATTAATAAACAATTTTTGAGGGACTTTATCCAAGGGAAATGTTGCAGGGAACTCTATATTAGAAAATAAGTTGAAGAAGAGCTCCCCAGCCCTCTTGTACCTTCCCACCTGTCCTTCCCCACAACCCCACTCCCAGGTGTACCATTCCCCCAACTCTGCACCTCTCTGGCAATTCTCTCCCCAGTCCTTCCCAAAATTTCCATCTCTGTTACCTGCTCCCTGGACCTATACACACAAATGGCCCTTGCCTGCTCTCCCAACCATGGCCTTTCTTTTACTCACCCTATCCCCTTGGTCTCCCCTGTACCCCTACCCTTGTCTGCCCCCCAGCAGGTGCTAATGTCAAATGGGCCCTTGACTTAATCCACCTGGGCAACCACTGTACTGGCCCCTGTCCACCTGGTTGACTCAGAACAAAATACTCCTCTCTGAAACAGCCCTTTTCCTTCTCTAGTCACACTGCTCTACTAGCAGTTTTTTTCCTTCTTCAGAACTTAAAACTGCACCCCTGATCCTGTCTGGCAGTGTTCAGGAGTTGGAGGGCAGATCTCACCCCAAGTCCATGGGCTACAGCTCCCCAGCTTCCCACTTGGCCCACTGGTAGGGGGAATTTAGCCAAGCACTGTATCCCAGGTGGTCTGGTCCTTCTACAGCAGTGGACTGTCTGTCTCCTGTTGAAGCAGTATTTTTGGCTCTGCTACTGCACATAGACTCTGAGCTGGGGGTTCTACCTGAACCTGACCTGTCCCATCCCCTCATGCTCATCATTTGTTTCTATGGAGCCATTTCTTTCCTGTGATGCCACTGTGTCCTGAAGGTATAATGAGTTTCTGTCAGGGCTCATGTCCCAGGGATTCCTATCCTAACTTGGGGACTCAAATCATTTCCAGCACCACAACATCTATTCTCTGCTCAGTGTTATCCCCAGAAATAAGCCTTTTTCCTCACCTAAGGGAAGATAAAGGGGCCTGTGTTAGCAGAGTAGGGGACAGCAATATACTTATTTCTGGGGAGACCTCCCAGGTTTCTCTCTCATTCTCAGACCTGCCTTGTAGCTGTACTAAATTGGTGTGCAGATAGGTGTGGATGTGTATGTTTATAAGCATCAAAGATTGTCCCTACCTGTGAGCCTAGGCCTGGGCTCTCTAGGGCCTTACCTTGCTCTGCTGCCATATCTGAAATTCATCTGGGAGCCACCAAGCCCCAGTGTTGGCCCTATTGTACCCTCTCCAAGATGTGGTGAGAGTCAAGTGGGATGGGTACAGAGGAACAGTGTGGACTGAATGAGCCCTGCTTGTGCTCCACCCTCTCAGGTTTCAAAAGCTTCTCTTTGACATCTGTGGAGCTGCAGATGCTGACCAACTCGTGTGTTAAACTTCAAACCGTCCACAACATTCCACTGACCATCAACAAAGAAGGTGAGACCAGCCTCCTGGGAAAAGAGCCGATGGCCAATGTTCCTTCTTGTTGGCACTGTCCCCCTGACCAGTGGCTTTTCCTTCAGAAGGATGTGCTTATTAAAGCCTGTTGTTCTCTCCCAGGTGTGGGTGGGACTGGTTAAAAGTGGTTTCTCCCAAGGAAGCCACTACTGGGCAGTTGAGAAGACAGTGGTGTCCTTTGTCACAGGCCTGAGACTAATGTTTCTCCAACCCACTGTGGTGGATCTATCCCCACTCCGCTGTCCTCCCAGATCTCCTCTCATCCAGGCACTCATTTGCCAATACTTTTGATCAAGCCAGGTTTTGCCTTCACTGTCGTGTATGTGTGTGCGGGCTGTCAGACGCATAGGCATGTGCTTATACACACACATGTACACATGTGTATGCACTCACTCATTCCATCTGTATTCCACACCACCTGACTAACACCCTCTCCTGTCTTTGGAAATTTAATTCACTTTGTCTTGACTACTGGTTCACCTGCATTGTGGACCCACCTAGATCCTAAAGTCCCAAACGAGGAAAACCACATGGGTACATTTTTGGTCTGTGACACCACCTTGCCTAGTGCTGAGTTGATTCTGAAGTGGAACCAGCCTATGTCATCTTGCCTCCCTCTCCTAGGAGGCATATGTTTACCTCTTTGGTCTCTTGCACAGATGATGAATCTCCTGGGCTCTACGGGTTCCTGAATGTCATTGTCCACTCAGCTACTGGGTTTAAGCAGAGTTCAAGTAAGTGACTGGTTTGGGGAGGAAGATGGTGAGGGTTGAGTAGGTATCTTCCCAGGAAGGATGAATCAGGCAGGGCATAGGGAATGAGGGAAGTTGTTCAAATGATCACCTTTGGTCCCTGATGACTGGGAGGTGCTGGTGCTGGTTGAGGGCTTCCAGATGTGGAATTATTTTCTAGGAGTGGACTCTGCCCTTTTCCTTACTGTCTCAGATCCTGCAAGCTGGTAAGCAGCGCTCTGTGGGCGAGTCTTGTAATTGCAAGGACCAGAGTTTGATAAAGGTTACCGGAGAACCTAAATTCCAAGCTGGGGGACTATTGGCAGTGGCTCCTCAACCCAATAAACAGAGTATATTTGGCTCTTCTGTCAAAATGGATGGATAATACCCCTTTCTCTCCCAGCTGCTCAAGCTGTTAAAGTGGTGAAGGCTGACTGCATTGCAGTTGTACGGACCTCAGCATAGCATATTCACCCTGCTCTTGGTGTCCATATGAGGAAGGAAAAGGGTACACACCATTCTGACTTTTCCCACAGTTGCTGCAAAACAAGAGACACCCTCCCCCCACCGAAAATCACAGAAGAAAATAGTTGCAATATATATGACAAGGGACTTATGTCCATAATACATAAAGAACTCTTACAACTCAGTACAGGGAGGCAACCCAATCATAAAAAATGGGCAGAAGATTTGTATGGACACTTCACCAAAGACATATGAATAGCTAATAAGGACATGAAAAGATGCTTGTCATGTTAGGGAAATGCAAATTAAAACCACATCAAAATACCCTTTCACATTCCCAAAATGATAAACACAAGGTGAGCAATAACAAATGTTGTGAAAATGTGAGAATAGGAACCTAATACACTGTGGATAGAGGTATGACATGGATCAGCCACCCTAGAAAACATCATAGGATTTTTATAGTTTTTGATGCTGGGGATCAAACCCAGGGCCTCATGCATGTTAAACATGTGCTGTACTGCTGAGCTACAAACTGTCCCTATTTCATAGTTCCTTAAAAAGTTAAACCACCCTATCATACATCCCACCAATCCCACTTTTAAGTATTCACTTTAGGGAAGTGAAAACATACATCCACAGAAAGACTTACACAGATACAGTGTGGCACATCCATTACATCCATACATGCAATAAAAAGGATTGAAGCTAGGTCTATAATCCTAAGTACTTGGGAGGCTAAGGCAGGGTGATTGCAAGTTCAAGGCCAGCTTGGACAACCTTGGTTTTGTTTCTTTAATTTTTTTTTAATATTCTTTTTTGTTGTAGTTGGACATAATACCTTTATTTATTTATTACTATGTGGTGCTGAGGATCGAACCCAGGGCCTCACACATGCTAGGTGAGCGCTCTACCGCTGAGCTACAACCCCAGCCCAGTTTCTGTAATTTAAAAAAAGAAAATTTTTTTTTATACCAGAGATTGAACCCAGGGGCATACTACCACTGAGCTATCTCCCCAGGCACCCCCCCCCCCCTCCTTTTTAAAAAGATTTATTTTTTTTTAAACCTTTATTTATTTATTTTTAGAGAGAGAGAATTTTTTTTAATATTTATTTTTTAGTTTTTTTCGGTGGACACAACATCTTATTTTTTTTTTTAATGTGGTGCTGAGGATCGAACCCAGAGCCTCACACATGGTAGGCAAGCACTCTACCACTGAGCCATAACCCCAGCCCTTTTGAATTTTTATTTTGAAAGAGGATCTCACTAATTGTCCAGATTGGCCTTGAACTTATGATGCTCCTGCCTCAGCCTCCTGAGTTGCTGGGATTATAGGCATCCAGCCAGCCTAGACAACTTTGTGAGATCTTGTCTTGAAATTTTAAGAAGGATTGAGAATGTTGCTCAGTAGTTGAATGCTTTCTTAGCATATACAAGGCCATGGGTTCAATCCGTAGGACTGGGGACCGAGAAGGGGGTAGAATGAGCTAGCTACTGATGGAGACAACAACATGGATGAGCCTAAAAAAAATTATACTAAATAAAGAAAGCCAGAAGCAAAAGAGTACATATTGTATCATTTTATGTAAGCAATTATAGAAAAGCCAGAATATAGAGACAGACTATCAGATTTTTGTGGAGGGCTGGGGATGGGAGTAAGACTTGACTGCCGATGGATGGATCCATGGGGACTTCTGGGGAAGGCTATGTCCTGAAACATTTGTAGTGTTATTTGTACAAGTCTTTAAATTTACCAGGAATCCTCAAACCAGTAGATGAGGATGCAACAGATGAATTATATGGAACCCAGATATGTTATTTCCTAAGGTTCCACCAAACCTTCCTCCCTCCCTGCACCTGTCCTTCAACAATGTGTATGTCAACAGAACTGCCTCTCAATCCCAAATTATCCCTCTTGGCCTCCCCTCTTACTTTTTCATTTATGTCCTTAGTGTCCCCCACTTTACATTCCACATCTCCAAACTGAACCTATCATTCATAGCCCCCAAATTTGTTACTCTTTTTTTAAATATCCTGGCCTGATGAGTGGCACCACTGTCCACCCTTCTGGTCAACCTAGAAACTAGTATCCTGTTACCTTACACTGTCAGTTGGATATTCTCCATCAGTGGAACTTCTGCATCATCTCGGGCTACCTTCATCCAGGTCCTCAGCAGCATCCTCCTCTCTAGACTGATAACTAAGCCTCTACAACTCCTATCCAGTGTTTTTTCTAAAATCCAAACCCTGTCACCACTTACAGCCACCGGACTCTGTATACAGTCCAGCTTCACTCACCCACAGACCTCCCCTCCCTCGTCTCTTGTACCCCACAACTTTCCCAGCACTGAGCTGCTTCCTGTTTTCTACACTGACCTGGAGCTCCCTGCCCTGATGCTTTGATGGGGTCTGCTCAGGTCATAAAAGCTCCTCCCACCCTCTGACCCATACCTGTCATCCCCCATCAGGTAGCTTATCTCGGCTGTGGTCTCTCTGCAGTGCTCTCCCGCCCTCCGCACTCTCCCCCAAGGTTTCAGTGCCATGTTCATCTCCATCTATTCCTCCAAGCAAAGGGCCCTTATCGCCTCTGGGACTTTTGCTGGGGATTGCTAAGTGATCAAGTCAGTGAGTATTCTGAGAGATCCCATTTCCCAGCTTCATGGTCAGGGCAAGGACATTTCTTGAGGTGCTGGTGCTCATACTGGCCACTGGTTTGGTGTTTTATTTTAAAAAAAGAAAGTAAAGGGCTGAGGTTGTAGCTCAGTTTTTGAGCGCTTGCCTTGAATGCATGAGGCACTGGGTTCGATCCTCAGCACCACATAAAAAAATATAAAGTAAAACAAAGATATTATGTTCATCTATAACTAAAAAAAAAAAATGTTAAAAAAGAGAAAAAGTAAAGACCTTTTTTTTTTCTTGATTTTGAAAATAATACCTGCTCTTATGGAAAATGTGTGTGATGTAGAAAAGTATGGTCATGTTCCTGTCACCTTCCCACAGATCTGTACTGTACCTTGGAGGTGGATTCCTTTGGGTATTTTGTGAATAAAGCAAAGACGCGTGTCTACAGGGACACAACTGAGCCAAACTGGAATGAGGTAAGTAAGGAGTCCTGCATCCATGAGAGCCCGGCCTGGCAGGGCCAGGATGTTTTTCCAGAAGAGTTTAAGCCTCCAGGGGCTCCCTAAGGCTTCCTCCAAAGGCTGTGCCACCAGCATTCCAGGAATGTCCTAGAGAGGAGGGGTGGTGACATATCAAAGAGATTTAAGTCCAAGAGATTTTATCTCCATGTTCCTGAGAATTTTACTCACCCACCCTCATCACAAACAAGCAATTTTGCCAGTGAAATGTTTAGAAAGAGTACTTAAAAGGGCTTTTTGTCCTGCCTTTGTTATTGCTTAGTATTTATGGTAGATTTCCATGTTTTTCCTTAGAAGCTGGAATGAGCTCCCTCAGAAGCTGGAATAAGCTCTCTATGACCGTCTCAGTTTCAAGAAGCCTGGGACTCTGCTTGTGGGAGCTGGGGTGGGGGGCTGCAGGCCTACTCCCTGGGTCTCCCCAGTCTGAAGGGTCCTGTTTGCTGGTCTCAGGATGTCGGGGTTGTGTAGTCTGTTGCTCTGCTTTCCTCAACCTTGGAGAACTATTGTGTGAACTTTTGGCCTTGGGCCTCCAGGAGTGGGGAGCAAAATTGCAGAGAGGCCGGTATCTATTAAGTCCCCAGGACCCTATGAGATGCCATTTCCGGACTCCACAGCAGCTACAACCTCAAGATCTTTGATCTTGATGGTGCAGGTAGAACAGCAGGGCCAAAGAAAGCTGCCTCCAACACCCTTCACAGCAGAGAAGGAAACCGTGTGGCCAGTAAAGTGAGCAACCAGAACCCAGGTCTCCTTGCTGCTCAGTGTCCACTACTCTCTTTGATCATTAGATGTAATACCTAAATAGGAGACTGATACAGTTACCTGTGCATGTAGCTCTGAGATGGGGGCAAGGTGTCAGCTCCACGTTAACCATTGTAGAAGGCTTTGTAGACAGCAAGGGGGCCAGAAGACCCAGGAGAGTCAATGAAGAAGGAGTGGTAGGTAGGGTGTAAAAGGTTCAGGTTTGAGTCAGCAGCCAGAGCACCAGGGAGGCTTCACACCTGGATGGTTCCATAGCAGCAGGCTACCTGGCATGCATGCAGATCATCCAGGGGGATCCTGGCATGGCCTCTTCACCCCCATTCAGATTCAGAAATAGCCACTCCCCCCCCACCTCACCCTCCTCCATTTTTCCTCCTATACAGCCCATGCAGGTTTAAGCATGGGTGGTACAAGTACGGAAGGGATGATGGGGGAGCAAGTTAATCCCACACACCCAGAGCAGAAAACTTGAAAACCCAGGAGAGCATTCCAAATCATCTTTCCTTTGTCACCTCCATGGATTCCTTCTTTTTAAAAAAATAGAATTTATTTTTAATTATTATTTTACAGAGCAAGGGAATGAACCCAGGCCTTGCACATGCTAAACACACACTGTGCCCCTGAGCTACACCCCTAACTTAGATTTTATTCCTTAGAGCAGTTTTTGGTTTACAGAAAAATTGACAAAAAAGACAGTTCCCATATTAACTTCTCCCCTGCTCTTTTCCCCTCACATTTTAAAATGTAACACCCAAGGGCTGGGGTTGTAGCTCAATGGTTGAGCACTTGCCCTACATGCGTGGGGCACTGGGTTTGATCCTCAGCACCACATAAAAAGAAAGAAAGCTGCCTCCAACACCCTTCACAGCAGAGAAGGAAACCTTGCTAATGCCTGTAGGAGCACAGAGTTCACCAAGAAGCCCTACCTCCCTACCCCAAGGACAAGAAGTTGTGTCCATCTACAACTAAAAAATTTTAAAAATCTAACACCCAAGTGGAACATGTGTTGCACATAATTGGTGAACCTACAATAATAATTTCATTATCACCCAAAGTCCAGAGTTGAAGTTAGGGTTCACCCTTAGTATTACATGTGGTCCATGGATTGTGACACACATGATGACATGTATCTACTATTGTAGTATCATACAGAATAGTTTCACTGCCTAAAAATGAAGCCATGTTCACATGACATTGTTGCCCCACATCATAGAATATCTGCATTTTTTAATAATTTCATTTTTATGTTTTTTTTAGTTGTAGATGGACATAACTTTATTTATTTTTAAGTAGTGCTGAGGATTGAACCCAGTGCCTCACATGTGCTAGGCAAGTGTCCTACCACTGAGCCACAACCCCTGCCTAAATATCTGCATTTTTTTTTAAAGAGAGAGAGAGAGAGAGAGAATTTTTTTTTAATACTTATGTTTTAGTTTTCAGTGGACACAACATCTTTGTTTGTATGTGGTGCTGAGGATCCAACCCGGGCCGCACGCATGCCAGATGAGCGCGCTACCGCTTGAGCCACATCCCCAGCCCTAAATATCTGCATTTTAACAAACACACCTGAGAGTCTGAAACCAGTGGTATGGCACCACCCTTGGAGATGCTGGCTTACAGCATTTGAATTAGGTTTGAGAGGGATTCAGAGCCTCCAGGAACACCACACTATAGTGACAGTGATGACCATAGGGATTGGTCCTGAAGTTCCCAGGGCTAAATGAGGAAGGTCTAAAGGCACAAGTTCTCCCAAAGCAGCCAATGGCGCCATTTGTTAGGAGCTATGGCTCAGGTCCCCTTCGGCCCCTAGTACTACTGACCACCATGCACTTAGACCTATTTGCTCACCTGCAACTATTCTTCTTTCTCGGGGCCACAGGAGTTTGAGATAGAGCTGGAAGGCTCCCAGACCCTGCGGATACTGTGCTACGAAAAGTGTTACAACAAAACAAAGATTGCCAAAGAAGACGGCGAGAGCACAGACAGGCTCATGGGGAAAGGCCAAGTCCAGGTGAGGCTGCCTGCCCCTCTTTCCCCAGTCCAGATGCTCCATGAGCTTTTCCATTAGGCTTTTGGGGACATTGAGATGGCCTAGCTTTTGCGACGGGTGGTCAATGGTGGCTCTGAAGCATCTACCATGTTTGGGATGCCTCGGTCCGTGCCTTCACAGGTCCTCTCCTGCTCCTGTTTGTCTGAGAATCTGTTATGTCCCATCTTGTTCCCAACATAATTTCTGTTAGACATGTTTTTCCAGCTGAGGCCTCAGCTTCTCCATGGCCTTAGGAGAGCCCAAAGGCAGAACAGGCAGTGTCATGGACTGAATTGGTAGTTATGGGGCCACTTCTTCTTGGGAAATTATAAGAGTCCCAGAGTCTACTCATTTGACTTCTGTTTTGGGGGTCTAGATCCAGTTTTCTGATGCACCCCTGAGCAGGGTCCCCCAAAGTTGGTGTAGGAGCGCCCAAGTAGGCCAAGAATATGTGTCCATACAGAGGGTCTCCTGGTTGTCAAGGAGAACCATCCTGGCCCTTGGTCCTTCAGAAGTTTGTTCATCCCTGAAAACTACCAGTTTCTCATACTTGTTGGCAGACAGAAATTGCCAGCCTTGTATTTCTTGAAGTTCTGCCTGACATATCTGCATGGGCAGCTGAGAAAAAGCTCTTATGCATGTTCCTATAGCACATGTATCAGATCCAGATCAGCTAGTTCCCCCATGCACCATCCTGCCCTGCCCTGCCCTGGAGGTAAATGGGGTCTAGGGTACTGTCTCTCCAGGGACCTCTGTCTTCATGTGAAGCCCTTGGAAGAGAGGGTTTGGCATTCCTAATGCCTGTAGGAGGACAGAGTTCACCAAGAAGCCCTACCTCCCTACCCCAAGGGCAAGAAGTAAAAAGCATCCTGTGGCAAAACACTGAGTGCCTGGAATGACATAGGGAGAAGGTGACTCTTCCCTGAGTAATTTGTGGCTTTGCAGATGGAAGCCCACATTCTCCTCATTCAGATGGACAAAGTCCTTGTTAAGGCTGAATGTCCCACCCTATCCCGACCCCTGGCCAGCCACATTCTCTGGAGCTACACACTCCTGCCTGGTTTCCACCATGGAAGCTTTCAGGGAACTTGGGGATTCAGGGCCTCTTGGGACTCCCTATTCCTTAAGACCATGTCTAAAAGCAAAAAATGTTCTCACCAACTTGTCCCTGCCCCACCACATAGATTTTGTTCACCCTCTTGACCTTTATACAGAATCCAGTGATGTGAGTCAGCCACATAAATGGATAGCATTGCTCTTGCTGGATACCGAGGCAGTTTTTATATTTTGTCATCCCAAGAGCATCGTGGTGCTGGCCTCGTTTGGGAACCAAAGTGTTTTCACATCCATCAAGTGACAGTTATAGTTAGAGTGATGATTGTGGCTTAGGTCCTTTGATGTGTGTCATTTTAATCCGTTTTTCAACACTATAACGAAACACCTGAGGCAGTCTGCTTATTGAGAAAAAGAGGAGGTGTAACTCAGTCTTGAAGGCTCATAGTCCAAGCTGGGGCAGCCCTATTGGTTCAGCCTCTAGTGAGGGTCCTTGGCTGTGTTATATCATGGTGGGAGCATGTGTAAGAAGAGATCATAGTTCAGAGCAGAAAACCAGAGAGCAATTTAGGGGTCAGACTCCATCTAGTAAGAACTTACTCTCATGAGAGTTCAGGAGTCCCATCTTAATCCTTCCCAAGGTAAGCTCCACCAGTGATCTGGGGCCTCCTATGCGCCCCATGTCTTAAAGGTTCCACCACCTCCATATTCGTACACCAAGGACCACATGTCTAGCTCATGAATCCTTGGGAGTCAAATCACATCCAATCCATAGCACACATGCTTCTCATTTGGCCCTGAAGCAGATCTTTGAGAGAGGGCATTTGATACGTGAGGGGACACTTCCCTAACCTGCTGTGCTAGACAGCTTTTTGTTGTTATGACCAAAATAACCTAACAGAAACAACCTGATGGAGGAAAAGTTTATTTATGCTCACAGCTTTCAGAGGTTTTGGTCCATGGTCAACCAGCTCACTGTTCTGGGCCTGAGGAAAGGCAGAACATCATGGTGGAAGGGTATGGTGGATGAAAGCTTCTCCGCTTCTGACAGCAGGGAAGCAGAGAGAAATATAGGGAAGAAGGGTCTGGAGTGAAGATAAACCCTTCGAGAGCACACCCCCAGTGACCTGCTTCCTCCAGTTAGGTCCTACCTCTATTCAACCATCAATGGATTAATTCACTGATGAGGTCACAGCCTTCATGATTCAATCACTTCTGAAAAGCCCCACCTCTGAACACATGAAACTTTGGATGACATTCCAGATCTGAACCATAACACCTGCTCAAAACTCTGGGGAACCTGGGTGGTAAAGTGAGCAGAGTGTAAAGCTATCACCTCTTGACCTGTGCCCCCATTGCATAGCTTCCCTTCTTCCTCTCCATGTTTTGCACCTGCCCCCAGCCCAAAACATTCCTCACCCACATCCCAGGCCCTCAGACATGCTCCCAGCCTGCATTTTACATAGCCAATAAGGCAAGGGAAGATTCAGATTCCTCTAGTCTTTGACTTGAATCATCTGAATCCTCTACCACTGAAGTTCTGGGATTTGACCCAGGCCTCTGTTACTGGTTACCTGGGGGTCTCAGTAGGAAAGAGAACAGAACTAATACTCACCTTCCTTCTTTATCAGAGTAAGCCCTCGCTTGAAACCCCTTTCCATAATGCTACCATATATAAGCAAAATCATTCTTTATGTGCACTGCACATGCTTTCTTTTCAGTCTAAGCACCCTGCCCCGGTCTAAAAAAAAGAGAAAAAACAGAACTGGAAAGTAGTGAAAGAGGTAAAAACATGTCTTATTCAGAACTGTTGAAATAGGGGAAGAGAAATCTTAGTGTAAACATGGGCTCAACTCCAAATATTGCATACACAAGTGGGATTTTATATCTAATGAGCAGGATGGGGGTCAGTGAATTGAAAATGACTAAAAGGCAACATCATGAGTAAGGAGGATTCTGGCTAAACCAGCCTAATAGGATTCTTGCTGAAGGTAAGTCAGTTGATCCGACATCACCTGGGAAATGGAGAATGAGGAGCCTGATCACATGTCAGGGATGAGCAGAGGAGGTGGGTGGAGGCTGCCTTTCCCATCCTTTTGTGTTCCAGGGACAGCTCAAGGAGAGCTCTCACTTGCTAGTCTTTCCTACAGGCACCTACTTGTCTGGCACCACTGACCCTTGGGCTCTATTAAAAGTAATTGTTCTGTAATTCCAACCACGTGGAAGGCAGAGGCTAGAGGATCATAAGTTTAAGGGCAGTTTCAGCATCTTAGCAAGATCCTCAGCACCTTAGGCCTTATCTCAAAATAAAAATAAAATAAAAAGGACTGGGGATGTATCTCAGGTTTAATCATTCGTGTGTATGTGTGTGGAGAAAGAGAGATGTGTGTGTATATGGAGATTGTGTGTGTGTGTATTTTTTTTCTTAAGCTGGGTGTGCAATCCTAGCTACTCAGGAAGCTGAAGTAGGAAGATTGCAAATTTGAGGCCTTCCTGAGCAACTTAGGGAGACCCTGTCTCAAATCTTTAAAAAGGGCCAGGAATGTAGTAGCTCAGTGGAAATGCAGTTGCATAGGGCACATAAGGCCCTGGGCTTGACGGCCAGTACAGGGAAAAATAAAATTATTTATTATACTTATGAAAACTGTAAGACTGTCCAGGACCATTGAGATAGGTATAGAAAGAATGGCAATGGAGGTTTTTTGTTGTTGTTTTGTTTTTTGGATACTGGTTGTTGGAACCTAGGGGTGCTCTACCACTGAGCTATATCCCTATCCCCAGCCCGTTTTATTTTCAGACAGGATCTAAGTTGCTGAAGGTCTTGCTAAGTTGCTGAGGCTGGCCTTGAATTTACAATCCTCCTGCCTCAGTCTCCTAAGTCTCTGGGATTATAGGCATGTGCCACTGTGCCTGATGGCAATGGGGTTTTGAAGTAAGAGGGATTTAGGGCTTAACTTAGAATATAAAGGGAAACTGAGAATTAATAGCCAAGGAATAGGGTAGTAGGTCACGAGATGGAAAGACTAAGAGGTTGATCGGGGTCAGGGGAATTCTGGCTAACCAAATTTAAAAGAATTCTTGCTTAACCAGATGTGGTGGCACATGTCTGTAATCCCAGTGGCTTGAGAGCCTGGGATTGCAAGGATTGCAAGTTCAAAGCCAGCCTCAGCAAAAGCAAGGCGCTAAGTAACTCAGTGAGACCCTGTCTCTAAATAAAATACAAAATTGGGCTGGGATGTGGCTCAGTGGCCAAGTACACTTGAGTTCAAGCCCTGGTACCCACCCCCCACCCACCCCCCAACCCCCACTTCCCCCCCAAAAAAGAGAATTTTTGCTTAAAGCAGGCCAGTGTGATTGGACATTACCCAAGGGATAGGAACATGATCAGACATTGAGGGTATAAAGTTTTAACTAACTAAACTGATTTAGCAGAATTTTTCATAAAATTGTGCTCCTGAGGACATGTCCAAAGATGAGGATGAGTTGGAAAAAAGATGTCAGAGGAATTCAACTAGACTTTGGTCAGGCTGAGAATCTTTGTCAATTCCCCAGCCCCAACACACTTCTTTTGAACTGAGTGAGTCACTGCCTCCCGCCCCCATCTAGACTTGTTTCCTTACCTGTGGGTTGGGGTGGGAGACCATGGTGTTGTGAGGGCTCCTTGACGTGCCACTCTTAGGTCCTGTTCAGTGTTAGCTGCTATTATTATTCTTATTACTCATCATCATTGTTGGTGAATTGGTGGTGGTGAAGGGCCAATCTGACTCCAGACCCCTGGTTACTGCCTGGGTCAGAGAGATGAATGGGAAGCATGGCCTCTGGGCCCTCGTTAAATGGGAAGGCGCTGAGCCCTGTGTGAAATACCTTATGACTCACACTGTTTAGGCAGCAACTGGCCTGGCTCCTGGAGACCTAGGCTCCTGGCAGTG